GAAATACTCATAAAGGATTTTTTTATAGAGATATATCCGCCACATAGGTAAAGACATCTTTTATAAATATACAGGGTGGCGCACCTCATTCGCCTCGGTTGATTATACCCTTGATTAGACAAGGATTATACGAATACGAAAAGATGTAGAAACAAAATATTTTATGGGTATATGTGAGGAGGCAATATGCACAATTTAAATTATTTTGAAATATACAGGGTGTTTCAGAACTAAGGTCCATACCAAAGTTATATTTTTTCTTATGGAACACACCCAGTATTTTATTGCATTTTTGGATTCTTGGGCCCAAAAAAAGGCATTTATTATAATGGTTAAATATGCTAAATTTTTGGTTCTTGAGATATTTAAGAATATCTAAATATGCATGCTACAATAGAATTGATTATGAACACCCTGTACATTAATTTTCAGAATCAATTCTTGTGCTGAGTTTAAAGGTAAGGAAATAAACTTTACTAAAAACATTATTGCTTTCTTAAATTTATACAAGAGTACCAAAAATTGCTGGTCTATTTTAAATATTTATTTTACATAAAAACTTCGTTATTTCAAATACAACACCCTGTATTTTTTAAAATAAATCGAAGCAGATTCAAATTCTCTTTCAAACTATATTAGGGTTTTTTATACCTATCTAGCTCAGATTTTGAATAAAGAGCATGTTTTCAATAAAATGAAAACCACGAGGGCTAGTGTCGTCATGGCAAGTTTCTAGTGACAGTTAGTAGCTATTTTCAAAATCGAAATTAGATTATGGACTTTATTTAAATTTATACCAGTTGACTTTTATTTAATTTACCCCTACAATAGTTTAATAAATATTAATTAGATTTATTATATGATGACTTGTAGATATATATGGATTTTCTATAAAAGAGCCAATTACCGCCAATTCATTTTCTTCACTTCCAACCACAGGTTTCTGCCTAATAGCACAGAATATCTAGCTACGCAACAGAAAAATACTCGAAATGAAAGATCTAAAATTGCACAAATAGAATACTAGATGGCGCGACAATAGCATAATCAGAATATAATTAGAAATTTTGAACTTTCGGTTTTGGATCGACGGCTCTTCGACGGCCTTATAGCTCGGCTAAGTTTGCACAGTTGCCAGATTCAAAAAGACTTGAATTGGCATCCCATTCTTTTTATTGTGTATAATGCAGTATGTGTTTCTTTCTATTCTTCTTTTCTTGTCAGATACACTTATATTAATTATTCCTTTGGCTATTAAAATAGTTTTAAGTATATTATTACAAAACATATACATTTTTAATATACACTATACCTTATAATGTTAACTAAGAAAATACCTTTAATTACCTTTAGAATTAATAATATACAGGGCGATTGATAGTGATATTTATTAATGCTGGAACGTTAGTAATGAAATATGGAAATAATTTATTAAAATGCAGTACAAAAAATGTTAACTGACTAAAAAAATACTATAATAACAAATTTCTTCCGTTTGCCACGTTATTTATATATTATAGACCTCGGTAGATTTTTAAAAGTGACACAGGTACAATTAATAATATATTAGTTCGGCATAAAAGTTGCTGTCACGACATCGAACAATAAATTAAAATTCATAAAATAAATTAAAATTATTAATTAAACAAATCTTTATAAAGAAACGCAAGTATACCAAATTTGGGCCCAATCGAACTCCAGGAAATGATATCAAAAATAGTGTACTATATTATGGTACCACTCGATATACTTTAAGGTACCATAATATTGCAATGTCACCGAAGATCCGTAGTATACCAAATTTAAGAACAATCGAACGCCATGAAATGGTATCGTAATATGGTACTATATTAAGGTACCACTTTATATACATCATAGTTCAATCATATTACAATGTAACCGAAGATACGTAGTATACCAAGTTTGAGCCCAATCGAACGCCAGGAAATGGTATCGTAATATGGTACTATATTAAGTTACCACTTTATATGCATCATAGTACCATCATATTACAATGTCACCGAAAATACGTAGTATTCCAAGTTTAAGCCCAATCGAACGCCATGTACGTAATATAGTACTATATTATGGTACCAGTTGATATGCTTCATGGTACCATAATAATGCAATGTCATCAAAAATACGCAAGTATATATCAAATATGAGCTCAATCGAACGCCAGGAAATGGTATTAAAATATGGTACTATATTAAGGTACTACTTTATATGCATTATAGTACCATCATATTACAATGTAACCGAAGATACGTAGTATAACAAGTTTAAGTCCAATCGAACGCCAGGAAATGGTATCGTAATATGGTACTATATTATGGTACCTCTTATTATGCTCCATGGTACCATAATATTACAATATCACCGAAGATACGTAGTATCCCAAATTTAAGCCCAATCGAACGCCATGTACATAATATGGTACTATATTATGGTACCAGATGATATGCATCATAGTACCATCATATTACAATGTCACCGAAAATACGTAGTATAACAAGTTTAAGCCCTATTGCCGCCATGTACCTAATATTGCTATGTTATCAAATATGGTACTATAGAAGGTACCACTTTATATGCTCCATGGCACCATGATATTACAATGTCACTGAAGATATAGTATACCAAGTTTAAGTCCAATCGAACGCCATGTATCGTAATATAGTACTATATTATGGTATCACTTGATATGCTTCTGAAAAAAAACGGCGTCCAGTTGGCTGGAAAAGGACGATCGATGACATTTCCCATATAAATTTAAATATAAAATGACAGTGATATTCATTTCATAGCTATCGCTAACGCCGTTTTTTCCCAATTATAGAATATGAACTTGGTATGAACACAATCGAACGTCAGGAAGTAGTATCATAATAGTAGAACAATACTTATTATATTGTCGCCGAATTACAATGAAAATTCAGGATTCAATTATACAATCAAACGTCAGGAAGTGATTGTAATTTAGCTCATAAGATTTCATTCCAACTAACATGGCAAACTGAAAAAAACAGCTGTGATCTATTTTAATATGTTTAAATGATGTAGCAAATTTGAAGGTAGGCTTTATCAGGAAGTATTACGATATGAATTACACAATGGCAACACTGCACAAAATTCTTTTAAATTTTGTTTGTAGAAAACTGTTTTCTTTTAAATTTATTGCCCTCTATTATGTAGTAGCGAAACTACCACATCAAAATATCTGATTTGGAGACAGACTTTTAAAGCCTGTCTCCTTTTGCTACCTACAATTTTATACATGTAACGAGGCTTCTGTTGCGTAGCTAGATATTCTGTGCTAATAGGTTTTTTATAAACTACATTACCAACTCTGCGAAATAGGACAAGTAGTTTTTCAAAGGAAGGATGTCTTTAAGCATAAGCTCTTGAGGCGAAGAAGCAATTTTTCTCACAAAATAAAATAATTAGTAACATATCCATTCGTTCCGCCAGCAGGCACTGCTTTATTTTTCTTTATAAAATAATGAATTATTTATTACTTATAAAACTATTATGGGTAAATTTAAGTAAACTGTTATAAACCTAAATAATAAAGTCCATAAACTAATGTCGATTTTGAAAAATAGTTACGAACTGTCACTAGAAAATTGCCATGGCGATACCAGCCATCTTGATTGCCATTTTATTGAAAAATCGCTTTTTATTCAAAATCTGAGCTAGTATAGGAAACCCTAATACAGTTTGAAAGAGCATTTGAATCTGCTTCGATTTGTTTGTACAGGGTGTTGTATTTGAAATAACGAAGTTTTATGTAAAATAAATATTTAAAATAGACCAGCAATTTTTGGTACCCCTGTATAAATTTAAGGAAGCAATAAATTTTTTAATAAAGTTTATTTCTTTACCTTTAAACTCAGCCCAAGAATTAATTCTAAAGAGTACATGTACAGGGTGTCAAAACCAATTCTATTGTAGCATGCATATTTAAATATCTTTAAATATCTCAATAACCAAAGATTTTAAACGTATTTAACCCTTATAATAAATACCTTTTTTTGGGCCCAAAAATCCAAAAGTGAAATAAAATATCGGGTGTTCCATAAAAAAAATATAACTTTGGTATGAATCTTTGTTCTGAAACACTCTGTATATTTCAAAATAATTTTAAATTGTGCACATTGCGTCCCCACATATATCCATAAAATATTTTGTTTCTACATCTTTCCGTTTTCATATAATCAACCGAGGCGAATGAGGTGCGCCACTCTGTATAAACCTTTATTATCAACAAAACTCACCTCCTTAACAGCACTTAAGGGGCATAAAGGGTCATTACTATCACTTTCCCGTTCAAAATATTCTAATAAGGTTGCGATGAGTTTTTTTATAACTGCTATTAAACTATCTTATACACTTCGCACTAAAAGAGGTTATAAAAAGAACAATGTTCGACTGCAAGGTTTGCTAGTAAAAAAATTTAAGGTTAAAGTATCATTCATTTAATATTATTATTTTATTAGTGTATTATTACATTAGTATAGCAATTCATTTAAACCAAAAACTCGTAATACAAAACTAAAGTGTCAAAATGATTGGCAATGTCAGGAAATAAATAAATGTGGCAACTTGACATTTTTTACAGCAGAGCTACCACCTGAATCCCCAGCGGGAAATTTAAATTCTAGTTAGTCAGCCCGGCATGAATGTATGTCCATGATTGGCAGCAATTAAATATACTTTATCCAATACTTTATCCAATACTTTACCAATTTTGGACAAATTATATACTTTATCCAAATACTGGGACTAATGAGTATTTAGATACTTTTTTAATTTAAATTTGGGCTCTTGGGCTCAACCTCAGGGCCCTCCAGGATGAATTGCTAGTTACGCTAATGGAATCTCTCCACGAGAGATGGCACATGTTTTTTGAAACACCCTGTATATATTTTTAAATAATTTGCATGTTTCTTTTACATTCTGCCGAACATTAATCATTATTATAATTTTTTTCTTTTTAGCGAGTATTTATGGATAAATAGAGTATCCTATTTGTACAATGGAGTAGCAGGACTGATTATTACACTATTTGTTGGATATATCGTCAGTTATATCGTACGAAAAATCACAGGAAAACGTGTTGAAGATGAAGACTATGATCCGAATTTGTTTATACCAATACTGTCAAGAAGTTTATTAAAGAATAAGAAACAATTTATAGAATTACATGAAAAGGCCGAAGTTAAAGCGTAATACAAAGATTGTGGGTACAGTTTTGATGAATTTAAAACTAAATATTTATTGGTATAGAAATTGGCGTTAAAAAGAAGAGAAAAGAAAAATTATGTTTATGTTTGTTAAATCGAATTAAAAAATCGTGGTTTGTTTTTTAGTATTTTTTTTTTGAATTAACAAGTTAAAATAAGTTATAAGTAACTGTGAGTTAAACAAAACTAATTAGACTTTTTGTATTTGGTTATATCTGTTGGCTTAATTTACACCTAGTTTATTTATAGCATGAGTAGATTGTGATTGTATTAACAACTTTTAATAAGGATACGAGGATAGTGCAAATAGTTTTTGTCTCACAATGATGCAAAAGGTTTTTTTGGGAATTTTTTTTTCCTTTGCTTGAAGTATTGTACACTTCTCCTACCTCATCTGACTCTTTAAACATTCATCTTTCTTTAAACAGTAGTAGGACTAGTTAGCTTCTTTGTTAGCAAAACAGTTGTTTCTAAAAGTTACCACCTCTTCGTTTGTCAAATTGTTTTTCCCCCAAGCTTAACTTTCAGCTGTGAAAATGCAAAAAAGTCACTAGGCGCCAAGTCTGGCGAATACGGTGTGTAACCTAGCAGGTGAAACTGTAACTTATGGAACTGTCGCATGTCGTACCCATAACTGTGTGCGAGACAACTGTGTTCTTTACGTGCAAACGTAACAGATTTGCCGTATTTCCAACATACAGTTTTTCCAGTATTATTGCACCGTATTTTCCTTTAATGGTTTGGTCTCAAATTTTAGTGGTCGCTTCTCAAAAAATTCGCATGCAAATTTCATGACTTCGGAGTTAACTAAATATAGTGAGGTCGGAAACTGTTTATACTTTCCCTCGAATTTCTTAAGTAGAATAATATACATTTCTGAGCTAAAGGTAGTTACAGGACACTGTCCGTTGGTCATTATAGAGGGTGTCCCAATATTTCGTAGACATAGAACTACTACGTATTTTTCGAACCAAAATAAGTCCATTGGACACAATTTACCTTTGTACAAAAGTGCTTTGTTTGTCCGCTAGGGGGTATCAAGCTTTAAAAAAATAAACTCATTTTTTAGATATTTTAAGAACTGTTATTCCGATTTGAATGAGATTTTGGATGTCTATGTTTTGCTAAGTGCTTTAACATTTGGCTTTCACAAAAATCAAGAAAATGTATGAGAATGGTAAAAACTACCCTTACCTCTACATAAATTTTAGTATAAATATTTTCCAACCCCACCGTCAACAGATTTTCTTTCCGTAAAATAGTCCTTCTAGTATTTACTACATTTTTTGTCTCTTGTAAAAAAACGTTAAATCGCATAGATTTTGTGAAAAAAATTTTTGGAAAGTTTATTTTTCCAAAGCAGGCCTACAAAATATATAGGGAGTTCCAGTCTTCCGTGGACATAGAACAACTACGTATTTTTGGATTAAAATAAGTTAATTGCACATAATTTACCTTATACAAAACTGCTTCGGTTGTCCGTTAGAGCACAGATAACATGTGGTTAGAGGGCTATCAATCAAAAATAGCCCTGAACGTTAATTAATTTAAAATTTATTATTTTTTAAGCTTTTTATGAAGCGTATTGTCAAATATAATTTGTGATACTAACATAAAATTCCATATTATTGTCAACTAGATTATTAGAGCATTATAGATTTTATGCGCCTACATAGCTTGATGTGATAAAAAATCTTTTTTGGAGCAGCTTTGGAAAAATATTTTTTTTCCTCAAAAAGTAGTCACGGTGGCGTTTTTTTATAAGAGAAAAAAAATGTAGTAAATATATTAGTAAGACCATTTTACGAAAAGAAAATCGACCGTCGGCAGAGTTGGGAAATATTTATACTAAAATTTTTGTAGGAGTGGGAGTCGTTTTCACCCTTTCCGTATTTTTTCTTGATTTTTGTGAAAGTCAAATGTTAGAGCACTTAGCAAAAGTGCAAGATAGTGTCCTGTAACTAAACGCAATGTTAGAGCACTTAGCAAAATATATACACCCTAAATCTCATTCTAACGAAATAACGGTTCTTAAAATATCTTAAAAAATATGTTTATTTTTTTAAGGTTTGATGCCCTCTAGCGGACAAACGAAGCACTTTTGTATAGAGATAAATTTTGTCCAATGAACTTATTTTGATTGCAAAAATACGTAGTAGTTCTAAGTCTACGGAATATTGGGACACCCTGTATACACTTGTACTATTGCGATAAAAAAAGTAGTACAAGAATTAGTAGTCCCAGATAGAACTCCTGGTCTATAAGGATATCGAGAAGTGGATATCGTCGAACAATACAATTATGCCACCTAACTTTTTAGGCGTTACCTTGAATTTGGTAATAATTGGTAGGTATACGTCAAGGTTATTAAAAGGTAAGGTTGTCTCGTAACTTTTGGACCAATAGGAGCGAAGCGGAATAGCATTCTTCTGACGTAGACAGAACGTATAAAATCATAGATAAAAGGAATAAAAGTAAAATGCAACCGACAAAGAGAGATAAATGGACAATACAATAAAGAAAACACACATCAAACAACTGAAAACTATTCGATTCGGAAATGTACTGTCGGACAGTGGGCAGTTTTTATCCCCTTATCTATGAGTGGTATCATTCCTATGACGTAGTAGATGACGTTTTCGATAATGGCGGATCGAGTTACGAGACAACCTTACCTTTTAATAACCTTGGGTATACGTGGCGAAATATAAGTATAAAAAATTTACCTACCTTTTAAAAATGGGCAATTTTTCAAGTTTTTATTTTATTTTATTATAGACCAGCGGATTAAATCATATTTTGTTGACTACTTTTTTTTTGATCGCAATGGTACGTTATTACATTTTGAGGTGAATTCATTTTAATAAAGTAACTATAAAATCTAACAAAATAGATATGAACAGTAGAACAAGTGTGAACAGTAGAACAGAGTGTTCTAACAAGACCGGTTGGGAAATTGGACATAATATACAGGGTATTCCTTAATAACATAATAACACTTAACGGGGCAATTCTTGACCATATTTTAAGAAAAAAATCATATAAATGTCCTAAGCATCTTAACTTTTGAGATACCGGGTGGTAAAATTTTCTAAAAAATATTTTTTTATAATAATTCTCATATTATTATAGATAATAATTTTTCTTAAATTGACTTCTTTAGATTGTCAATCATCTCGCAAAAAATAATACTTTTGTGGCGTTTGGGGGACGTTTTTTTTTAAATTTTACCACCTTATGTCTCAAAATTTAAGATATTTAAGACATACATTCATATGATTTTTTTTGCTTAGAATAGGTCCAAAAATCACTTCTCTAAATGTTAGCATGTCATTAAGGAACATCCTGTATTATAACATTTTGATTTGTAAACTCATTAGTAGTATTTAACATAATTTAGTAATTCTATAAATATAATAAACTGGGAAAATAGGAATAATTACTTGATATTGCATACATTTATCGAAAACATATCTTATATTAGGAATCTATAGCGATTCTATTTATACAGGGTGTCCCAGAAATAAGTGCAAATATTTTAACTGGTAGTATAGTTTAACCCCAGAAACACGCCTATGAGGTTTTTTTCACGAAAAAAAAAATTGAAAATTCGAAATTTTTTGAAAATTTTTTTAGTTTTTAGTTGAAAAACATAATTTCTTAAAAATATGGCAACATAGGTATTAGATTAAATTTACAGGAAAGAAAATCCAGAAAAGATCCAGTGGTTCTCAAAATTTTAGCAAAAAATATTTTTTTTTTGGAAATTTTCAAAGTAAAATAACTCGATAATAAACTAATAAAAATGACTAAAATAAAAACGATAAAGAGAATATATGTTTCTTTTATCGAGATCTACCACCCCTTAAAATATTTGCACTTATTTTTGGGACACCCTGTATAAATTAGTAAATTTTAGTGTACAGTTTCATAGATGCTTTGGAATTTCTCGGAATTTAACAACAGAAAGCCATAATATAATCAGAAACGTATGTTATTGCTCGAATAACGAGATAATACTTTGTTTGCAATGCACCACAGTAAGTAAGTTTAAGCTCACAAAGTTTCGAATAACATATAATATAGCAGCATGTAAAGTAGGACTTTATATTTCACCCGGGAAGAATTGTGCACGATTTTCCAACAAATTTCAAGCAATAGATATGCAAGATTTCATAATTTCAAGCAAAATTTGAATAATTAGGGCTATTTATTGTTATAATTTTACTATAGTTTGCAATAGATTATCTCAGGAAATGTATATTATAAAATATTTAGTTATATACCCAGTAATTTAAACGGTGTTGTGAGTGTGAGTAGATAAAATATAAAAATATAACTGTGTGTGTGTGTGTATATTTTATATGAATGAAAAAATTGTTAGATATGCGCAATGTGACAATAATCATTATATACAAGTCATGAATAACAAAACGATGGGATCGTACCTTGTAGAATAATTTAGGGACTTTTATACTTAAAAATTATATAAATTCTTATGATTAAGTTCTGAAATAGTGGAGAGCTTAAATTTTTGATTATTTGACAGGGAGAATTTGGTATATTTGGTGAAATTGGAAATTGTGAATGATGGTATCGTTGGAGCACTACTAAAGTTATAATTTACAATTATTTTTAAAAGGTGCAGGGTGTCCCAAATAAATAAGAAATATCAAAGTTGTATTTTTATAAATCGAACACCCGGTATATTAATACAGTGTTAGTTTATACGATTAATATAAAGATAGATTTGTAGATTTGATTAAGATTTATCACATTTTAATCTTTGTCTGAACCGTCTTTGAAATAGGTGATTACGATTTTGTGAAAATGCAGTAACAATTTTAATTTTTCATTTCTCTAGGCGTATTTAAGTTTTTAAAACCAAATATTTCACTGAAGTTTTTCTATTTAGTAAATAATAAATCCAAATTTATTATTTACAATCAAAACAAATCCAATACTACTTTATACAATGAGTCCAAAAATATTCTAAAAAATTAGTAGATATATTTAAACGGCAATACATTGTTTAATTTAAATGGAACACCCTGTATATTTTACGTGAATGAGACGCACAATGTAACTGTCAAATATTATTAAGATATTTTTAGCTATCTTTTTGGGTTTTCGTAGAAAATGCATATTTTGAACTTAAAATGCTTTTTTAACTTTATTACTAGATATCTATCAATATGCACATGGAATCTTGACATTTTAGATTATTTTTAAAGGTGTGACAAATTTTTGGAAGAGTTCAGATACTAATATTGCCGATATAGTTCGCTTTTGTCTTTAAAAAATAAAAATATATTTAAATATTTGTAAAAGAGGACCAATTAATATCTCCTCCCCCAGTATTCGAACTACATGAAATATTTGCGTTGATTAATATAATAGCTCCAAATACTAAAAAAACTGAGTTTTGTATGTGTACCTAATAGACAGTGTGGTTGCAGTAACTCATTCTAAATTTTATTTAATTTTTTGCCGAATGCTTATTTATAACAATAGAGACGTTCACATTCATAACTTATTAATATATTTTCTGATTTCTGATTCAAGTACGGATTTCACATTATCAAACAAAAACAATTATTTAGAATAATTATTTATTAACTAATACAAATAAATATATAATTAATTAATATTTGCGCGGAAATAATGGTGGTATATTTAATTGGTGTACTCTTTTACAAAGATTTAAATAGTTTTCTTTCTGAAAACAAATGGGCCAGCAATATAAGCTTTTTTAGCATCTGTACAATTTGTTACATTTAAAAAAATTCTAAAATGTCAATATTCCATGTGTATATTGATAAAGAAGTCTAAATTATAAGAGAATGAATTGTCTACGAAAACGTGAAGAGATAAAGATGAAGCATTAAACATTGTTACTACAACTTTCATATTTTTTTTTTATTTAAGACACTCTGTACCTTTTGCCAATAATTTTAAATTGTAGCTTTAGTAGTCCTCTCAACGATCTCATTACCCACAATTTTCAAAAATCTAATCATTTGGCTACAATACTCCGTGCAGAATAGCGTGAACAACCCTGTATATTAATCTTAACTAATAGGTCCCTAAATTATTTAAATCCGTAATAAACATACAAAATTAATTACTTCATTGATCGTTTAAGAAGTACACCTTTCTAAAAATAATTACAAAGTTTTAACTGATAATTTTGAAAAAACAGATGTATTAAATTAGTACCTGATAGATATTAAATGTATATCATTAAGAGAAAATATCCCAACTTGTTGCCATATTCTTTTTATATATGTATTTTATGTATAAATCAGAAATTATAAAATCTTTATATAAAATATAAAGTATGTTGCACGTACAAAATGTGTTTTTGTCTTATTTTTACAACGGTTTCTTTAAAAAATTGGTTTCCCATGACAACCTCTATATGAACACACAATGTATTCATAGTTTAGTTGATGCTTCTTTAATTGATTTTAATTAAGGTTCATGTTCAGCTTTGGTGGCAAAACAATTCCATGAGGCAATTTAATGGTGGTTTGGTGTAATCCGGTTATCACCAATTTGTTAAGTTTTATCCAGATTTTTTAGCAGCGACGGCTAGTGTTTTTTTGTTTTCCTTCGTTGCATGTTTTCCAATTACTGTTTACATTTAACAAGTTCCACCGAATTGAAATTAAATGATAAATATAAGCTAAAATTACATATGGGAATTATAATGGAATATTATGGGAATGTGAATCATTAAAAAGAAACTAATGCTTAAGAATGCCTAAAAAAATATTTATTTTCTGACTAATTTTGAACAAACATTCTTTTGAGTGAATATTTTATTTAAACTTGTTGAATAAATATAAAAATTTGTATTTTTTTCATTAAGTGTTTTTATTGTTGTTTAAAATCATCCTAATCTTATTATTATAATTGTTAAAGTCTGTTCAAAGTCAGGAAAGATTTCGAAAGAAAAGTCTCCAAAAAATGACAGAAAATACAATTTACCTGTGAAGTAAAATGACAGACAGAACTCTCACTGGGTAATCATTAGATTGGAAAGTGCCCATAATGACAATGTAAATACTATTTGGTGCTATTTTTGCCAGGGTCGCGACCCAAAGCTTGATAATTTCGGATCCGAACCGATCCGAAATTATGATCCGAAACTTTTTCCGGAAGTATGTCGAATTGTTTATTCAAATTTATTATTATTTTCTTTTAATTTTATAAATAAAATACAGTGTGGTGCATAGCAGAAACTTTATTTTATATAAAGGCATGTATGAAATACCTATGAAACATTGGAAACCAACGTTATGCCACGATCCATGATGGTTTTTGCAGTTTTTACAACACTCTCTTTTTCAGAACACTCTCTTTTCACAACACTCTCTTTTTACAACACTCACTTTTTAAGTTTTTAATGCCACTTTTTCACATTTATCACGGGTTTGAGTAAATAAAATTTAAATTAAACTCACAAGATAGCAATAATTACCTTGAGAATAGACGCTTTAAATACTTTTCGGTATTTTTTCGATAAGGGCGGTTTAAATTTTAAAAGATTTTATAATTTTTGAAGATTCTTACTTTGACAAGAGAAAATTATTTCTGTTATTGTTTGGCGGTTGTTCTTAGCAACGGCTATAGCAGTGGCAGATCGCGTACAACGGTCGCGACCGGTCGCGAACCTAAATTTTGACGGGCTTTCCAATCTAAATTTATTTCCTTTATCTATGTGGGTAATTTGTAGATTGTAGAATGAGTGGCATTAATCACTGCTACCTTAAAGATTTATTGGTTCCCCCTTCCTTGAGTTATAACTCATCATATAGTCTATAACCCATCATACTTGAGGAGTTTCCTGTTGTAGCTGGGACAGGGTATTTCCCATCCTCCTCAGGCAACAGATTTTCTTCCTCCCAGGATATACATACTCCCACCTCCCACGGTTGGGGTTTCACCCTCCGTGCCCTTCACAGTCCAGGAGCTTGTCTCTAGTTGAGGTACCCGTGAGGTGAAAGTTGGAGGATCTGTCTCCATTTTCTCCATCTCTTTTAATTTGGTCTCTCCTTAGACCTGATACCGGTGTTGCGTTGTCCCGAATGTGTAATAGAGGATATATTGCTCGTTCTCTATTGGCCTCCTTGGATTTGAGGTCAATTCCTATTGTGAGGACCTGAACCTAACCCTCCTCCGTTGAGTTGATGATTCGCCAACTCGATGTCTTTACATTGGAGTTCTGAGCCTGGATAAAGGCTCAACACGTAGGTGGTGTCTTCCCCCTGCTCCTCGGCAGCAAGACCGTGATGATCGCCCCTTTTGGATTTTTTTTTTCTTTCTTCCCTGCAACCAGTCCGGGCCCTTGCCTATTTTTAAGCTTAGGTGCCGTTTCCACCAACCAATCCGCCGATTCTTGAGATATACAATCTGTGAGGAGCATGCCCACCCGAAAGTGTATCCCTGCAAAATGCAGCTGAGTCACATTTTTTGGACTGTTGCCTTGCAATCCGCTCGCTACTACTTTGTCCAGTATTGCCTTTTTTAGAGCTGTTTGATGGTCGGTGGTCAGTGCAACGTTTGGGTAATCCTTTAGCAGCACCGCCAATTTCACTTGTCCAGCAATAGTGACAAAGCTGGTGATACGTCCCTGCTTGCCTATCAGCACAGAATATCTAGCTACTCAGCGTAACTAGATATTCTGTGCTATCAGTGTTGGACTACTTTCTACTTTCCATCCAAGCGTTTTCCTTCCCTTGCCGGAGCAGAGGTGAGAGGTTCTCGCTCCCTCTCTTGTCCTTTGGTGGAGATGCGCCAGACTGTTTGTTGCGCCAGAAATTTTACTCGTTTGCTCCTCGTCATAAAAAACAATTTTCGTACTACGAATGAGGGACAAGATTTTTATCTGTATACATATAGTATACCTAATCCGTGATGCAATGAGGTGTCACCCGGTGTCCCACCTTTAGTTGATCAGAGACTATCGTGCACCTTTTAGAAACAATCTTTTATTTTTGGTAAAATAAATAAAATCATAAAATAGAGTACGAAAAAAAAACAAAAATAAATTATGAATTATACAGGATGAGTGCAATAATAAGAGATAAATGCAAATATATTTAGGGGTGATATACAGGGTGTCCTAGGCTGAACGTGCATTAGAACTTTCTAGAGAGAGCTACGCAATATCTAGATAGAATATTTTTTGCAAATCATTATTTCACAATGAGATCTATCGACTAAAATATTTTCAATATGGTGGCATTTCCGAAAATACCGGAAGTTTACAGCTATTTTCTTATTTTAAATGAGTCTTCCCATTCTTTAGTACATATTTAAATTCTCTGTAAAATTTTATGAATTTTGATATCAAACTCTCTATATCTAACCGTTTTTAAGAAAAAAAAGAATTAAAATTTTTGGAGGA